AGCCCCTGCACCAGAGGGCCTGAGCCTGGAACTGACTGCTGTCGGCTCAGTCCCTGCACCAGAGGGCCTGAGCCCTGAATTAACTGTTGTCAGCTCCGCCCCTGCACCAGAGGGCCGGAGCCTGGAACTAACTGTTGTCGGCTCCGCCCCTGCACCAGAGGGCCTGAGCCTGGAACTGACTGCTGTCGGCTCAGTCCCTGCACCAGAGGGCCTGAGCCCTGAATTAACTGTTGACGGCTCAGCCCCCGCACCAGAGGGCCTGAGCCCCGAACTCCCGGTTGTCTGCTCAGCCCCTGCCTGAGGGCCTGAGCCCTGAGCTAGCTGTCGGCTTTGCTCCGCCCCTGCACCAGAGGGCCGGAGCTTCTGGACTAACGGACTGCTTGTTCCCACAGTAGTGAGTCGGTGTGGCTCCCCTCCTGCCCGGAAGGGTCGAGCCCCGGCAAGGACCTATTACAGTAATGCTCCTGTAAAACGTTGAAAATTGTATTGGTGGGATATGGCTCACTGTTGAGATTGCTTAAGTTTCCAAGCAGACTGCCGATGAAGTGAAATGACTGGGGTAGACAGGAGAGGAAAAAATCCAAGAACAACAAAATTACAATTCAAGAGCTAAGGATCGTGAATGTTCTACTTATAACCCAGCAAATACACAACGAGTAACAGGGAAATCAATATACTGAATGCAATTTCTGCAGCAAGTTATGGAAAACTGGATGTAGGTCCAACAATCTGAATGCAAGAATGCAACCCAGTCAATAAGGGTGCATCCCAAGTGGTACCAAAAGCTCCTAATTCCCTCTCTTAGGAGATGTTAGGAACTTTGAAGGATCAGAGTATAAATGGAATAAAATGCACACTACATAATACATTTTTAAATAGCAAGAAAACCCATCCTCTTGCTGGAAAATCTAGTAAGTAATTGGTCTTGTTAATGGAATTGAACATTTCCCTTCTGGAAGGACAGGTTCATAGATTCCCAGGCCCGAAGGGACCATTGTGATAATCTAGTCTGACCTCCTGTGTAACACAGGCCAGAAGAACTTCCCGCAAAAAATTCCTTGAACATCTCTTAAAAATGGCCAGTGAAGGAGAATCCACCAGGACCCTTGGTAAATTGTTCCAATGGTTAGTTACTCTCACTGTTAAAAACTTACCCTTTATTTAGGTGCCAGGGTCTCAAAGAAAAGATTTTTCAACACACCAACTGCTGCTGGGGACAAACTGTGTAATTACTGCATACTGAATCTTCCCTTTTTGAAGTAGGTTATTGGGAATGTAGTACTGAGACAACTGCAACGGAATCCTTCAACTTCAAGAATTCTTGAGCCCTGTCAGCTTGGGTTTAGGCCTGGGTATGGTCCAGAAACTGTACTGGATGCATTAGTTAATTATCTTCTTCAGTGAGGGAGGAAGATCATGCTCTGCCTAAGATATATAGCCTCCACCCACACTATCTGAGTGCCTCACAATATCGATTGTATATTAATGCCTCACAACACCCCGTAAAGACAGAGAAATATTACTGTCCTCATTTTTTTTTTAAACAGATGGAGAACTGAGGCACAGAGAGGCTATTTTTATACTTGCACGTATGCCTACAGCAAAGAATGGGAGTTTTTAAAACACAAAATGCAAAAGTTGTATTACTTACGATAATCGGTGTGAATCTCATCTATTTCCTTTTCTGTCTGGTCCTTTGTAAATGTCATGCTCTGCAAAGTGATACAAAATGTTCATTTGAAGAAAATGAAGATATAAGAACATTTTAAAAACACAAGCTGTAATGTCAGAACATGAAGGAAACTTACCTTTGACCAGAGGAAATATTCCTTTTTACCCCCACTCTTTAGACACTATGTCAACCCTATGTGGGAGAAGATCAATTGTCCAGCTCCTTCCCACCATCTCTGATCAGCCCTACCTGTTAACATTTAATATATACCTGGGCTATTTATAAAGTGTCCCTTTGCTCTACTTTCACAAGAGCAGCAGGAGAATGCCAAGCTGGGTAAGGAGACTAAACAGAACAAAAATAGACCTTCCTTAAGGCCTCCCTCCAGTCTTCTGATTGGTTCAAGGCCAGGTCAGTATCTTTATCTCACTTTATAAAAACCCTTCAGTATTTTTATTGCAGTCATAAAATACTCACGTGTAGGTGGTTTGACCGTAGAAGCATCAGTACTACACAAACTAGTATTCCCCTTAACAATAAGCGATATGACATTTTAACTGTAAATTGTTTTACACTAGTTATTTAAAATACACCCACACAAATATCTTGAATATGCTACTAATGGTTAATTTAAATGTAAAGGAGCTGTAGTGACTTGGCACCAAGCATTCTGCTCCCCCTTTCCCTCCCCAAAGCCATCCTGCCATGTACCAATAACAGTGCTCTCCTGTTAGAAGTACCACCATCACCATGATTCCCTCTCCCTGCTCAGAAGGACTGAGTTGGGTAGGATTTAGCCCCAGACATAAATGGTTTTCCAGTTGAATATTTTAGCACACTGAAAGGAACCAGCAATTCCTTTAATGAAGTAATATGTAAAAATGCTTCATGTCCCACTCCATAACTCTTAGTACAGAGATAATAAACTTACATTTTCACCAGCTTTATTAAATTCAAGTTGAGTCCGAGTTTTCTCGTTGTTTTCAAGCTCTTTCACTATTTCTGCAACTGTTAATATCAACAAGCATTATAAATGGAAGAACCACAATATGACTGTTAAGATAAAGAATAAAACAGCATTGAAAAGAACTGTCCTAGAGCTAAATGACATTCACGGCTACATGCATTAATCTTCCACCTCGGGACACTCGGTCTGAAATTCAGATTTGAGTCACAAGTGAAAACAAAATAGAATAGGCTTATCCCAGTAGACTAATGGACATTTGTTAACACTGCAAAACCATAATTTGCAATAGTTCAGTAGTATTGGTAGTCTGTGCACAAGACTCAGGAAAGGAACACAAGGTCAAGAGCTATGGGACCTGGCAGAACTGCCTTGAAGAAGGTTACACAGTGCTTGCTTTCAGATGGCTCCTAGCCAGTCCCAGGCCATTAATCTCTTACTTTCTCCCAATATGAAATTCATTTCCAATCTCTCTCTCTCTCCCTCCCTATATATAAGATTTTCATTGGATGTTGTACCAGCATATTAAATTTTCTATGATATATAGACAGATATATTTGTACAAAGTCTCCATTTTATAGCACATATTTAAATGAAAAAGAGATTAAATTATGAAATATGCTGTTGATATTATTTTTAGCTCCAAGGACTACATCCCAAATGCAAAAGAAAACTGCCTGCGGGTGTCAGTCCAAAACCCACAGTCCAAACAAAGATCACATATTACCGTAAGAATTAAACCAGGCACATCTAAAGATTACAATTAGGTACAAGTGGGCTCATTAACACTCTAGACATAACTAGAGCTATGCAGTACTGTGTGTAATTTATTGTGCCATTTAAATTACTAATTTATCTCTATGCCTAAATATATCTGCTGAACCACCAGAAAACTATGTGCATTTATAAAAACAAATACTTTCATGAGACAATTAAGTGTTCAGGGTTTGGTCAGAGAATAAAAAAAATCTTAAATTATATAGGAATAAAAATTGGAGAGAATCTGGTTTAAACCAAAATCCAGGAATTTGGCTCACATACTCTTTCAGCAATTCAGCTGTCCTTATTTCACAATGGCCCCAGCAGCTTTGCTATAGTTGAGGATGAATTAATGCTTCCTGGGATTTAATATTCCAGCTTTATAAGAAGCACATTGAGTCAAAACTTGGTAAAGGTAGCACTGCATCATTTATGGGCTGCTACTTAAAGTACACTGTGGAAGTATTCATTACTACTATGGGAATCTATATGTGAAAATTCACCCTTAGAACAGAGTAATGCCCAGAACCCTGGAACTGTAATACAGAATTGTGTGTACTGCAGCACCTACGTTTAGTGGGTCTTGTGTAAACATGCTACTGAAGCCTTATCAGAACTAGTTTCTTTTTATGTTGTTCTTGCCAAAACAAATCCTACACCAGTAAAAACCCCACTTCCATGAATGCTTCCCTCCACTCCTGTGCTCCTGCTGGTCCTCTCTGAACTGTCTAAACCTTGCATGACTGCATCCTTCTTCCACCTGCCACCATTTCCTGTCAATTCAAGGGAGGACATTTTTACTGATTCTTTATTTATAAAAAAAAAGTTAGTAAAAACTATTAGAGTAAATACAATTGTCCTCTGAAGAGTTATGTTAAATCTGGAGACTAAAATTCAATAATGAAATTGGCAATAGGGAGTTTTAATCCTAATTTAAGGGCAAATCTCACACACACACCTTAAAAATGGAGTCGCTACTGAGCCTCCATAATTAAAGGAAGCTTGCTGTAATCAAACTCAGTTTTAAAATTAGGATGAAGTGTACAAGTCCCATTTTTAAAATGGATTTAGCAATTTATATGTTTATAGTTAATTGAAAGTCAGTGGGACTTCAGCTCCTAAATCATTTACATGCTTTAAAATATTTTACTCTTAGTCAATAATTTAGTAAAATAAGGAACAAAATGAAAAACCACCCGAAGTGCTGGATATGTCAAAATGAGAGTTCTTTACTGTTCTATAAAGAGCCCTATCTGTACTTGTCCTGTGAGGTAACCATGCATTTTGGTGCAAACATCAAATACTAAGTTATATAATCCTGAGAGTATTATTAACTGGGAAGTAAGGTCAAGATTTTCAAAATCAGGAGTCGAAAGTTAGATTTTGAATTCCTTACAGACTCCTAAATAAGTGACATAATTTTGAAAAGCACAGTTCCACCCTGGATGCCTAACTTTAGGCTCCTGTTTATGAAAATACTGGCCTAAAAGTAGGCTTGGAAGGATTAGGTTTTTAATAGATAAATGTCGGAAAATATCAATTTCACCATATGCACACAAACCAATGAAAAAATATTTCCATAGATGATAATCAAACTTTACAGATAGGCAAAGAAAGAAAAATGCTACTTGAGAATTTATCAGAGTCAAAATCCAGTTATATTTTACTCTGATTTTGGATTAGGCTTGTTACAAATGGAATAGCAAATGAATAGTAAAAACAGGTCTGACTTGTTGATTAAATGATATTTACTTGGTATATTTTCACATATGTTGACACTGTTTTAAAACCTTAACTTTTTCAATTTCAAGATCTTCTGTCATGAAATAATTTTGACCCGCCTCATAGTTTCCTGAAACTGTAAACATTTAAATCACTAATAGAAAAAATTCTTAAAACCCATAATTTTGTACAATTGTGAAAATTTAATATTGATAAAAAACAATCTTTAAAAATACTTAAAAATAAATATTGATATTATCCATCAAAATTATAGAAAAGTTGAATTCTGCCAAGCTTACCTAGAACCTTTTGCTGTTTAACATTATTTGGACACAAGAGTATATTTTTTACACTACACACTGAATAAAAAATACCTTGTTTATTAGAATACTGGTAAATATATTCTCAAACACAGTATAGTCTAGTGGTTACAGAAGAAGAGTCAGGGCTTCAGGGTTCTGTTTTCATTTCTGCCACTGCCTCATTGTGTGATCTAAGCAAGTGACATAACCTCTCCGTGTCTAAGGACTTGTCTAAACTACAAAATTAGGTCAACTTAATTTAGGTCGATCTACAGCCACCACAGTAATGCAATCGGCTGTTGGTGTCCATACTACCCTCCTGCTGTACTCACTAGGAGCCCTTGCCCTGACTGAAGTGGGGCACTGACAGCTGCACAAGGCTCACATCTGGAGCCCGGCAGGATTCAAGTGTGGACGTGCTTAGTGTGGGGAACCCAGGTGTGAGGTGAGAGGGTTCTGAGTGGGGCAATATGTGTACAGGGGGCTCAGTGGGGGGTCCAGGTGCGGGGGGGGGGAGTGGGAGATCTGGATGCACAAGAGCTCGTTGGGAGGGTTCCAGGTGCAGGAGCAATGGGACTCTGCAGGGGGATCCAGTGAAGGTGGTTAGGGCTAGCGAGGGGGGGGGTCTGGGTGTGGAGAAATGGGGCTCATAGGGGGGGTCTGGGTGTGGGGGCCTTAGTGGGAGGGGTTCAGGTACATAGGGGGTAGGACTCATCGGGGTGGGGGGTTGAGTGTGTGTGGCCCTGTGGGGAGGGTCTGGGGGCATCTGGATGCACAGGGCTTGGATAGATGGGGGAGCAGCTCCCCATATAGTTACCCCTCTCCCCCATGGCTGAGGTGCAGGAAGCGGGGGAGGTTTCTGAGGTGGCTCTGGCTGGCCCTGGCCATTCCATGCAGGAGAAGTGCACTCCTCCTCCACCCCCAGCCCAGTCGGGACTAGCAGCTGAGCCCAGCACAGGGTAGGAGCCATCAGCCAGGGCATCCCCAGCCCCAGGTGGGGCTTCAGGAAGGTCGTGGGGGGGGGGGTAAGGGGGGGTTTCTGGTAGCAGTGGGTGAGGCTCGGCAGCGGGGATCTGGGTTTGGTGGGGGGGGGACCAGATGCACAGGGGTTGGGCGGATGGGGGGGGGGGGTGTCTGACCCAGCATGGGCAGGCATCCCCAACAACGCCGCAGTGATTTACCTCTCCACAAGCCACTCTGGGTGCCTGAAACCACGCGCCTGTGCTGCTGGGGAGGGGCACGTGACCAGTCTTGTGGCTTCCCATTGCTTCCCCATCAGAAAGTCATTTTTCGGTGGGGAAGCAAAGGAATCTGCGAATTCTGTACGCCTTGCAGTGACGCAGAATTCCCCCAGGAGTAGAAATTGAGCCCTGTGCCAGGCTCACAGCTCGGCTCCAGCTCAGGCTGTAACCCAGGAGTATGGGGGTGGGGGGGAGGGTTCCTGGTGTGAGCCCCACGCTGTGCTGACAGCTGGGGTGAGCGAGGCCAGCTGTGAGCCCCACACAAAGCTCAATTTCACCCCAGGGAACCTACTGGAAACAGACATTCTTGTCAATTTCACAGCTCCAGCTGTGAGCCCTGTTGCTGACAGTGACAGTAAACAGCTGATGTAAGTAATGCAGTGTCTACAGGGACACTGCATCACCATAGCTACACCAACATAAGTGCTACACTTCTCATAGAGGTGGAATTATTATGTCAGTGTAGCAGGCCACTTACTTCGGCAGAAGCAGCATTCTAGTGTAGACACTGACATAATTAGGTTGACTTAAGATGTCTTATGTCGACCTAACTCTGCAGTGTAGACCAAGCCTAAGGGCTTGTCCACACTGGCATTTTACAACGCTGCAACTTTCTCACTCAGGGGTGTGAAAAAAAACACCCCTCTGAGCACAGCAACTTTCAGCACTGCAAAGCGCCAGTGCAGACAGTGCGCCAGCACTGACAGTCGCGCTCCCAGCGCTGGTAGCTACGCCTCTCGTGGAGGTGGGTTTTTTAAAGCGCTGGGAGAGCTCTCTCCCAGCCACGGGAGCACTTTAACGTTGCCAGTGTAGACTAGCCCTTAGTTTGCCTACATTTAAAACAAACTAACACTAGCAGCTTACCACATAGGCATACAGTACAACAGTAATGAGTGGAGATCAAGTAAAAGCACTCAAATGTTAAGACATTTGAAAGTTTAGTTTTGTTCCTTTAGTAAATAAGTTATACGAAAGCATCTATATCTCTTTAATTGAACGAATCTACAATTAACTAAACAA